AACCGAAAATCTGTATTGGTTGGACGAGCAGTTGGGAGAGGTCGGCGAAGTTTGCAAAACTAGTGTCTTATGTGGGATTGCCGCCAGGCCACCCATCGACAAAGGTCCGTACAAGAACGCCGTTTCCGAAGTTGCGGTAGAAGTCGAGTGTCTGCTAAAACAAGACAAAACATCGGATGTTGTTGAGTTAACTAGCACTAGGGGTTGGCGTTTAGGCATTTCGATCTCTTTCTCCAGTTACTAGGCAAGCATTTGTTTTACAGACCACGCTTCGCATGTAAACATGATTTGAATATATAATGAGATGACGTCATTTATCTCTCTAACTGTTCAACGTTATGCGGGGCCGCTGTGTACTGTAACAACTTCGCTTCTTTTTGGAGGACGAATACGGGCCCAAAAATTTATAGTTTTGAATTTTAATACTGCAAGGCTACTAAGTGACTCCATGTTATGTGTTTTGTTGTAAAAATCATTCCCTCTGATGCTTTAAATGTCCAAAATTAGCGCAACATGACAAATGTTTTGTTTTTTGGCGTTTTCAGGCAGAAGAAATCTGACGCCATAGAGGTCATTCAAGTGAGTTGTGCGTCGTCAGAAATTGACCTACTTTCATGAAATTCACACACATTGATAACGTATTGGCGCAGAATAAAACCCTTGAAGCATTTTTTGATAACTTCTCGCAATGAAAAATAAAAAGTTTTTAAATTCGTTGTCTATGGGTGAAATAACAGGAAAAATGTAAATTGATGTCATTGTAAATAAATATGCAATCTATGTTCTAACACTCTCGAGGCATTGACGGGGCTGATGCTGCCTTGCTTTTTCAGCTTTCTTTTTTTACAACACCCCTACGGTTTTTATACAAAACTCATTTTTATTCAAAATAACACCTCTATGTTTACTTAGTAATCACGTGACTAATTCGTGGTACATGTCACAGATCATTTTTTTCAAAAAGCCAGGAACAAGGGCTTTAAGAAAATATATAATTTGCTATGCTTCAAAACACTTTTCCTCATGAAAACAGTTTTTACTTTTTAGAGCATGATAACTCTACCGCATCCTTAAAAACATGAATTTAAATTGTCGTATTTGCTCTTTGAGAAGCCCATCTTTCAATAGAAGTGCATTTAAACTTTCTTGAGCGCAATTACTGATTGTCTGTGTAAAATTTTTACTTTTTCTTGAAAACCACAAGTTTGATTGCTTTGTTATCGAAGATATAGATAGTCTGTACCTCACGTGGACCACTCTCAGATTTGTTTATTCATGATGTTAACTTTAGTTCTCCAAATTTGATAAATATTTTTGTCATTTTTGGTAAAAAATGATATTTTTGACTTCTTGTTGAAAAATGTTTGTTTACGATTATTTGTTTAAATTAGGTACTGTTTTTGTATTATTTCAGAAATGAAAAAGACCCATCAAGAGTTGTATGGTTTAATCAATTATGGAGAATTGAGGAAAAAAGTGGGAGGTGGATTGAATGAGAAGATAGGACAAAAATTAAATGAGTTAATTACTACAGGGTAAGATTGTGTCGATTATAGTAGATTTGTTTCTGGTGTGTGTGTGTGTGTGTGTGTGTGTGTGTTTGTTTGACAGGTATGTGTCATAACTTATTGTAAAATAAAGAAAACAAACTTTTGAGCTACTCAAGACAAAAAATGTCATCTCTTTAGTCCCGGTGGCATGTGGTCTGAAACAAGACTTTACCCAGGTATGTTTTGGGTTCTGTCAGTCTAATGTAATTGACATGCTCAAAATTTTTGTCAAAGTTGGTACAAAGTTATTTTAGGAGATGTATGCATGTTAATTTTGTTTTGTTTTTGACTGATTGCCAAAAAAAATCAAAATCAATTATTCTCAAATGTGGTATTGATACATTGTATCACCCATGGTGGATCAATGATGCATATCAGTTTGTTACATGCTTTGATACAAAATGTCTGACTGGTATTTTTCAGATACACTTTTACAGATTTGGTTTAAATTTGGTACAAAGTAAAAAAAATAATGGGTTGAATGTAGTTTCAGTTGGTTTCGAAATTTTGTGAATTTATTTCATTTTTTCTCTCCGATCAATGATCTCACTTACAATTCTTTGAGAATCCCCCAAATCTAATGGGAAAAAAATGATTAATTTAATTTTTTTTTCGCCCTCCTCAAAAAAATTTCCTTATAAAAACTAGAGAAACAAGGAATAAAATAAGTCTGGCCTTACAGCGCACGACTTTTAGAAAAAAAAAGGTATTGTGAAAGGACGAATAACACCTGATGTGTTTATTTACTTTTAGGTGTACTTTGATCCGTCACAAAGGAAGGAATCTCAGAATAAAAATGCCAATATGTAAGGCATTGAAAAGGCTCAACAGTTCAGAAGGTAAATAATCTACTGTAAAACATGTTGAAAAAGCGGCATGCAATTTTAGCGAATTTTGGTAAAATGACGTAATAGCGAAATGTTGATTTAGCGAATCTTTCTTGTCATTGTCAATTTCTTTGTTTGGCGGCCATTTTGAATTGATAATAAAGTCATTAGCGGCATCTTGAATTAGCGAATCAGTTCTCTCGCGAAATTCGCAAAAAAAGACATGTTTTACAGTATATCTGGATTGCAGTGCGTCTGTTTGATTTGATGGCGTTCAGGTGACTTTCAGGGTCAGCATATTTTGTGTTGTACAATAGGAAAGAGATCTTTTCAAGTTTGGTGTTCGATTGGAGGCTGGCTCACAGGATTATAATTAGAAAATGGGAATTGACTATTTTTTCTGTGCATCTTTATTACAAATTCCTATACTTGAATAGGGAAATCTCTAATATTTGGGTTCCAATATACAGAGTGTGGGGTTTTGATATTGCTAATAAAGTGGACCAAATACAAATGTATTGATGGTACTAGAGAGTGCTTTATCAAGATTTTTCATGTGTAATGGTTTTTATTGTCTAGGAGTTGAAGAAGATGAGCCTACCAAATTACCAATGAAGGTATTAATAGAATTACAGCCATGTAGTAATGCAGCGTGGTCTACGATACAAAGTATGGCTCAGAATCCAAGATTAAGGTAAGATTACTGTACCAATCTAAGCTTGTAGAAATGTTCAATGATATTTAATTTCATTGTTTTAATATTCGATCATTTTTTATCTGGATTTTAATTTAATTTAAATTCACAGATTTTCAATTAAATCAATCAGTTGCTATTGTAAATTAACTTTGATTTCATGTAGTGGTTTTCTCTTGATAGTGTACTGGTTGGTAATTTAATCGATATGCGTGCTGGTATGGCAATTTTCTAGTCACTTCAAATTGCCTATTGCTATAATTATTTTTTTTAATCTGAAAGTGTTTTCTTCTGTTTCAGGATTACTGTTCCTTTAAAAAAGGAAATAGGAAGTTTATTAGGATTTCTACAAGAGAAGTGGACTCCCCATCGCCAAAAACTGGTATCCTTTTATGCTGGTCTTGTTAATTGTTTATATTATAGGCTTTATATTTGTTCTCATTCTTTTAATAAGCATAATTTTTAGAGGCCTTTTTTCAATAACACAAATACGCTTGTCTGGGGATTGTACATTTAATGATGCCCTGAAATTCTGAGAGTTATTTCGACACACAATTGGAAAGACTGCTTGCAACTTCGCATTATGCTTTTTTTTTTTGGATTTGGCAACATTCCTTTGACGACACTGTTCCATTGACATGCACACAGTTTATATCATTCCTTTATCATGCGAGACGAGGGTGAAGCGCAGATTTTACAAAATAAATATGCCTTCATCGAAATACACTAACAGGATATGTTAATGTGTTTCAATCTTTCTTGAATTATCTACAACGTAGATATACAAAAAAACAAGTAATGAAGAAAATAATTAATCACACACAGAAATGCCATCACTCAAATGGTGCTGTCAAGTCTAGAACAGAGTAAATGCTTAGTGTTTCTCGAGATTGCAAGCCGTCTTGCAAACTGCTAATAAAAATAGGGGTTACCCAAACTTATTTCCATTGAATGATTTCCCTATAGTGTGTCGACTCCTATTTTGGCAGTCAATTTTTGAATTGTAAAATTACTGTAAAACATGTCTTTTTAGCTAGCATGTCATTTTAGCTAATTTAGCTAACCTGTGATTTCGCTAATTCAAGATATAGCTAATTTAGAATAAAGTATATTCTCACAATGAGATTGTTGGCATTTTAGCTAAGTTAAAATTTTGTTAATTCGTGTATTGGGTCAAATTCCTAAAATGGCATGTAGCTATTTCAATATGTTTTACAGTAGTCAGACATTGCAGGTGGTGTGGTTCACAATACAAAAACTAGTTTAGGTATGTTTTTGTTCCATATTTTAGGAAATTTTAAGTCAAAGTGTGTTAGCTCGCCTTTAATAGTGAAAGCACAAACATTACAATTATGTGTCAGCACTAGCAATTGCAATTTGCACTTACAAAATAGAAAAAAGTCAGGAGAGACAACAGTGACATTCAATGTCCGGAACTGTCGCCTGGCACAAAATCATTTAAAAAACACAAAAAAACATTACAATTATAAACTCAATTATAATATCAATTTATCAAATATAATTCCTTGACTTTCTGCCCATCAGCTCAAATCACTGCGACCATTTCTACAAGAGGAGCCTCATGCTATGCTAAGACTGCGATTGCCGGAAAATGCAGATATTAAGCCTCTGAATGAACTCAAAGGAAAATACATGCATAGTAATTGCAAAACTCCATTCCACTTTGTAATTCCTGAAACTGGAAAATACGGAAAAGCTGGCACACTGTCAAGCAGTCCACGGATAAGTGGCAAGTCCAAGTCTCAGATTGCCAAGAATAACAAAGCCATGTCTGCGGCACTGAGCAAATGTGTGACAAAAGACACTCTGCTTGGAGATGCTAAAGGGGATAAAATGTGCGAGATCTGCAGGAAAATAAAAACCGTGAACAATAATGTGTTTAAAGGCAGAGACAAAAAAGAAAAAGTGTGTTGTTGTGCCCTACCCACTGCTAGTAAAACTGAGAAAATGGAAATTTCCAATCATAGAAGGAAAAACTCTTCCAGCATTGAGGATCATGTGACGGGTGATGTGACACCAATTGACATTGAGGAAATGTCAGGTGACAATGATAGGACATCTAACAAGGAGACTAACAAAACTGATATTGCTGCCAAGTTGAGTGAAGAGTGTAAACTAAGACAAGGCATAACGTTGAGAAATTGTGATGGGCTTACCTTCACTGAAATCTACGCCATGGTAAGTAGATGAGCAAGTATCAATTGCTATTTTGTGTACATTAAATATTATTCGCATTGATTTTGTATGCTACCAGAATAGTTTTGCAAGAGACTTTGCTTTTTAGCTCCGGTGTCGACTTTGTCGAGCAGAGCTTATCATATGAGTGATTCTTCGTCGTTGTTGTCGTCGTTTGTGTCAATGTTTAACTTTTTCGACTTCTTCTTGAAAACTACAAGCCTGAATGCTTTGATACTTGGTATATAAGTACCTTGGGTAGACCTCTCTCAGATTTGTTCATTTCATGATGATATCTTAAATTTTAAAAGCATAGCTCTGTGATCCCCTGGATTGCACCAATGCATCATGGGAAATGTAATTTGAATGGCCTGCCCATCGTTTAATATGCATAAACAAGTTTTTAGCTCACTAAATTTCCAGTAGCCTAACCAGACTACTAAAAAATGACAAAATAATGACAGTGTTTTCATACATGTATCTTTCACTGACCAGTTTGTACTCAAATGTAGATATAGATTGAGCAATGTGAGATTTACTATAAACTGCTCTTGTGGAAGACAAAATTTGAAGACTTTTGTGAATCGTGAAAATGATAAAATTGATAGCAGTTAAATTTTGCGACATGAAGTATTAAGGACTTTTGCGAAATTTTGTTTTCACAAGAAGTTTACAGTATTTATTTGTACTCAGATTTCTTGCATGGCTTTTAGTGTTTACTTAATGAACTACCCAATATTGACGTACATGTATGTGAAAAAGTCAGGACCTGTCACTTAGATGAAATTGAACTGTCTGAACTAAACTCTGTGTAAACTAGAGATCTGCCTGGACTAAACTTTGTGTAAACTAGAGATCTGTCTGAAATATACTTTGAACTAAACTCTGTGTAAACTGGAGATCTGTCTGAAATAAACTTTGTGTAAACTAGATTTCTGTCTGAAATAAACTTTGTGTAAACTGGAGATCTGTCTGAAATAAACTGTGTGTAAACTGGAGATCTGTCTGAACTAAACTCTGTGTAAACTGGAGATCTGTCTGAACTAAACTCTGTGTAAATTGGAGATCTGTCTGAACTAAACTCTGTGTAAACTGGAGATCTGTCTGAACTAAACTCTGTGTAAACTGGAGATCTGTCTGAACTAAACTTTGTATAAACTAGAGATCTGTCTGAAATAAACTCTGTGTAAATT